GGTAGAGGTTAAGGGAAATGGAGAGGGTTACATAAAGGAATAGTTAGAGGGAGGCCTGATTCACTGGGGGCCATTACTATAACAATGTACCACATCAGTATTAAATGTTAGCTGTGGGAATGGTACAGAGTGGATGTTTGTGTACCCCTAAATGATGGGGACTTCATGAGGATGGGGACTTCACAAATGAGATTAGTGCCCTTATAAAAGAAGCCTGAGAAAGATCTTTTGGCCCTTCTGCCATGTGAGGAAACAGTAAAAAGACACTATCCATGAACCAGGAAGTGGGCCCTTATGAGACACTGAAAATGCTCATGCCTTGATCTTGGTACTTCCTAGCCTCCAGAACTGTGAGAAATAAATTCCTGTTGTTTATAAACCACCTAATATAGGGTATTCTGTTAGAGCAACATGAACAGACTAAGGCAAATTCCAGTACTTCTTCTAGCCACATAAACATATTCAACATAGGCACATAGTCTGAATGCGATTGATTCATGTTTACTTACAAAAATGGGATGTCACTACATATGCGCAAACAACCCAACTACAATGGAAGACCACTTATGAGCTACCATAGAGAGATACAAAACTTAATATACTTCCCTCAGCAAAATTATACCATGAACCCCTTTTCCTAAAAATTCAACAGTACAATTGTGGAAAAAATAAACCTATAGGAAAATTTTATATGAATATAGGACTATTTAGCCTGGAAAGTAAAGTTCTCTCCATAAAATAATTTCATGATTTTATCTTCTTCAATAAGAATAATCTGTATTTCATGACTTTTTTAAAGCACATAAAGTTTGTGAAGTCTGCATTCACATTGATTCCTCCTAATCTTTCCAGTCTCATGTCAAAAGACAAGTGTCTACTTGCTGCACAGTGATCCTCTCCAGGAGAACCAACAAAACAAAACATTTATTATACACAGGGATACTAAATTTCTCATGGCCATGCTTTATTATAGATGCTGGAAAAATAAGTTACCATTCATTTTCTCTATAAGGCAGCAAAAAAGGGAATGGAAGTAACATCTAAATAAAATAAGCTGCCTGATACAGGGAATAAAGGTAGCAATTATAAAAGGGAAGGCTTTCGTATGAAATGATTTTGGTCAGATAAAACTGCTCATAAAACCAGGGAGAAGAAAGAAGGCAGGTCCAGGCAAGTGTTCCTTTAATAAGGCCACTTATAAAATTATCACATAAATCTCTTATCTCGGTGCAAATTGACTGATGCAGAAAATCTGATGAAAAGTAACAGTGAGTTTTAGCAATTTTCCTCAAAATTATATAGTGAGTGACTGAACTAGAACTTGTGTTAAATTTCTTGATTCACAGTTAGGTACAAACTTACCAAAATGCATTAGGACCTAGACCATGGCAAACTTGTTTCCTATCAGATCCCCCACGTCTAGCTGTTGGGGAAGGTCACAGAAAAGACTCGGTTGAGCTAAAACTGGACCCAGGTGATCTGAGTGAATCTCCTTATCCCCTCCCCTTGGAATGTGGTTGTTTGCTTTTCCTGGTCTCCAAGGCTGCTGCAAGCACATAGCCTTGAGATAAAGATATGGTGTTGAGAACACCTGCACAATACACTTAACTGAACCCAGTTAAGGCCTCTCTTTATATAAACTTTTAAGATTTGGTGGGTGGGTGCAGGGATCCATTATTCTTCCAGCCGCCCAAGACAAGCCTCCTAGGCAAGTCCCCTTTGCTTAGCGAAACTGCCACCTACAAAGCTAGAAAGGCCTTCCCCTTTCTTTGGTCTCTGCCCTCCATATTCGGAAGCCAGTTTCAGATTAAACCTGGGAAGCTCCCAAGGAGGTTATGAACCAACACTAGCACAGTGCACAAGCTCAAAAATAGTGTTAGAATGAGTAAAAGAATGAAATTTAAACAAGATTTTACATTTAGTCAGGACTATAACTGAGATCTGGGTTACAATCTTAGATTCATTAATTATTAGGAAATTACTTAGCTTCCCTGAATCTATTTTCACTTCTGAAAAATGAAAATAAAATTTATCATTAGACCAGGTACCTTGAGTTGCTGGGAATATAAATGTGAACAAGAGGGCGAGGGGAAGTAAGGGTAGTAAAGACCAATACAGACAAAACAAAACTAGAAAGTGAATATACAGAATAGTTATGAATGAAAAACAAGAAAAACAAGGTGCTGCAGTAAAAACAGATTCTTTTTTTTTTTTTTAAAGATTTTATTTATTTATTTGACAGAGAGAGAGAGATAGCGAGAGCAGGAACACAAGCAGGGGGAGTGGGAGAGGGAGAAGCAGGCTTCCTGCCGAGCAGGGAGCCCGATGTGGGACTCGATCCCAGGACCCTGGGATCATGACCTGAGCCGAAGGCAGACACTTAACAACTGAGCCACCCAGGCGCCCATAAAAACAGATTCTAACGATGAAAATAAACATGCAATTTTAAGCATATGACTCATGTGACAAGAGAAATTAGATCTCATCTCTTCCTTCCCTTGCTAAATTATGAATTAAAAACTGAACATGAAAAATATGTAATTCAAATCCCTAAGTAAACAAAGTTACATCATTAGAATATGATATTTACTATAGACAGCAAGACTGAAGAACAAGCATTTCACAGATATTGGTTCTCAGCATGCCTGAGGAGGCAGTATGGAATTAAAGAGAACGTCCTCCAGCCAGAAAAATCCATTTTCAATCACACCATTTAAGTTTTAGCACAGTTCTTAACCTCTCCAAGCCTCAGTTTTACAACTTGGTTGGAAAAATGAGGACGATACAGGCACCTACCTCGCTGGACTGTTATGAAGATGAACTAAGAGAGTGACAAAGTTATAGTAATCGTAAGAGTTTGATATTTGCATAAAACACACAGGTTAATGGAACAAAACAGCCCAAGTACCAAGAATATACAATGAAGAAAGGAGAGTCTCCCTAATAAATGGTGCTGGGAAAACTGGAGAGCCACATGCTCCTTGACATTGACCCTGACAATGATTTTCTGGATTCAGAACCAAAAACAAAGGCAAAAAGCAAAAATAAACAAGTGGGACTATGTTAAACTAAAAAGCTTCTGCACAACAAAGGAGGCTATCATCAAAATGAAAAGAACCTATGGGATGGAAGAAAATACCTGCAAATAATATATCTGATAAGGGGTTAATATCCAAAATATGTAAGGAACACCTACAACTCAACAGCAAAAAAGCAAAGAATTTGAGGAACTTCTTCCAAAGACATACAGATGGCCAAGAGATATATGAAAAGGTGCTCAACATCACTAATCATCAGGGAAATGCAAATCAGAACCATGAGATATCACCACACACCTGTCAGTTTGCTGTCATCAAAAAGACAAGAGATAATAAGGGTTATCGAGGACGGGGAAAAAAGGGAACCCTTGTGCACTGCTGGTGGGAATGTAAACTAGTGTAGGCATTACAGAACACAGTTACCGAGATTACTCAACTTAAAAACAAAACTACCATATTATCCAGCAATTCTATTTCTGGATATATATCCAAAGGAAACAAAATCACTATGTGCATGAGATATCTGCACCCCCATATCCACTGCATAACTATTTACAGTAGCCAAGACATGGAAATAAGTGGCCACTGACAGATGAATAAAGAAAATGTGGTATATACAATGGATTATTCAACCATGAAAAGAATGAAATCTTGCCATTTGGGACAACATGGATGGATCTTGAGAGCATTATGGTAAGTATCAGAAAGAAAAACACAAATACTGTATGGATCTCACATGCAGAATCTAAAAAAAAAACCCCAAAACAAAACAAACTCATGGAAACAAAGAACATACTGGTCAAAAGGTAGAAACTTAGTTACAAGACAAATAAGTTCTGGGGATGTAATGTCAGCATGGTTAAAAAAAATAATGAATGGTATGTGGCATATAATCTCAGTAAAGGATACAACAAAATGATCATTCCTACAAATCTGACGAATGTTTTTAAAATGTATCCCACTAAATCAATATCTTTTTATTTTCTGAGCTATTATTTGTTTTACCCAAATACGTGGTTTGGAAAGAAATCTGTATATTTTCAGAAGGAAAACTTAGTATCAATTATAGATAAGAAAAAGTCCTTAAAAAAAAAAAATAGGAGGCACTGCTCCAACAGTCGAAAATGTCATTTAGATTTCAAGTCTACAGCTTAAGAAAGTTATCTAGTAGTGTATCATATTCCAGAATGGCTGAGCACAGCGGGATGAACAAAACTTGACCGAAAGAACTGTAAACACCTGAGAAACACTTTCATACGAGGGCATCTTCGGTAACCAAGAAAGTGACAGCATCCAGGCTGGTGAGTACTGAGGCCCCTTCTCTCTCCACCCCAGCATCAGGCTGGGCAAATGCTAAACACTCCTTTCTAGAGCCTTCACTCTATACCAGCTCTTCAATCTTCAAGTCCTCCAATCCGCGAAGGCTCTGGTGCTACAGGTAAGACGGGCAGAGAAGAATATGTCCTCTTCTCAATTCTTCACTCACCCCGAAACCATGATCTTGGCCATGCGGCCCCCACTCCACCGTACGGAGTAAATTCAGAGCGCAAAGAAAACTAAAACTTTCTTTTTCTTCTTACAGAGGGCACCACCCGTGGAAACCCTCTAAAACACCTAAGGAAACGGGTTCTTCTCACCTCTTCGGACCTGGACCGAGTCCTTCCGCGCCAATAGCACGAGCTTCATTAAGCCGGGACCGCTCCCCTCAATTCCTCCCCCGCCTCTGACCCACAGCTCGACCTCACCTGGGAGCGGTTCCACCAGGAGATGGCTTAGAGAAATCCCAGGAAAAGCGGCCCAGCTAGTGACGCCACCAAAGGCACAGTCATGGTCTACCTCATTCAGGTCACCGGCGCACACGCGCCTCAGCCACTGCGCCTCCCGCCGCTGGGTCGTTCCCCCACCCCCACGGTACCGTCGCAGCCTCCCGCATTGCACGCTGGGAACGGCCTCCCTCCACCTCTCATAGACTTCAGTTCCCAGCATGGACAAGACTCCAAGCAGAACTGCACTCTGGGATTTGGAGTCCTTATTCCTCGCCTTCTCCGTCTTTAACAGAGTCCAAGGGACCCTGCAGGAGAATCTAAACGCAAAGCATCACCCAAGGTCGTGAAATGTAGGCTCCCTTCGCATCCGGGGCCTTGTGCCGTCTTTCGCGGGGTGGGGAATGGTGTCGCCTAGCAGCCGCCGCCGCTCTTGCTTGCACAGGACCTGTTGGCGGGATCGAGTCCGGGTGGAACCGCGCTGGGGATCGGTCAGGCGTGGCGGCGGGGCCAACCTTGGTCCGTGCGGCGGATCAGGGATCTCTGCTGGTTGCCAGGCTCGGTTAGGTGGGTGGATCTTGGTGAGCAGGAGCAGCCAGTTTCTTCCCAAAAAGGTTCTTTCAGTCTCAGGGCCCGTACGTAACAGCCTGTCTTCCCCACCCCTCCTTAGTCTTTGGTCCGCAATCCGTCGGCCTTCTAGCTTCAGCCCCGGTTTCCCCGGCCTACCTGCTCTCATTTCAGGCATTTATTTACACACCTTTTCTTTTTTACCCCTAGTTCCTGCTTCACCGAATCAGGGTTCATTTCCAGCCTTCCAAGTACCTCCGCGTTTGGCACCATTAGATGTTCGCGCGCCTCGGTGGTAAGGGGGCGTGGAGGAGGGGACTCAGAATCTTAGTTCTGACCTAGATTAGTTATAAGAGAGAATCCGTTAGTGGTTTATTCAGCCGGTGCAGTCTTTGTTGGTTTGTGCCAGGTGCTATAATTTTGATCAAGGCTATTTTGCCCACTTATCTGTTACACAATTAAGGAGCCATAGCTCTTTGCTAACACCATAGAGGGTTACAATGATGTAATCTATAAAAATAGGAACGCTGTTTACCTCGAAAATGCTAATACCCACCTGTTTTGTTACAGAAAGTAAAGCACAGTGAAAGATTTCAAGATGCCACCTAATATAAACTGGAAAGAAATAATAAAAGTTGATCCAGATGACCTGCCTCGTCAAGAAGAATTGGCAGATAATTTATTGATTTCCTTATCCAAGGTGCTTAATTGATAAACAATACACACACATACATATATATACACACAACTATGATTAAGTTGTCCCTGAAATCAATGAATATTACAAATGGAAGAATTTTTATATTTTGCCCAAGGGCTATAAAACATAAAATAGTTGTTTTTCTTTTTACTTAGGTGGAAATAAGTGAGCTAAAAACTGAAAGTCAAGAAAATATGATACACCTTTTCAGAATTACTCAATCACTAATGAAGGTTTGTATGCAGTAGGTTTTAATAATGGTTTTGACTATTGGAGGACGTTTAAGGGACTGTTCTTAAATAAGTTAGTCTTTATGAAAGTACTTTGTAATATCAAAATCACTCAAAAATGAGATCTCTTCAAATGTGGATTGAAAATTTTAGTGTGCAAAACATTGCTGGTTTCTGCTCTAAAGTTCCTAGAAGAATGTCTAAGGGAAACAGAATGGGTATGTTTAAAAATAACATAGAGAGGTCCTTTGTAATTATGTTAACATAATCCTGAAGTCAGAATGAAAAGTGTGAACACTTGTATAGGGGTTTGTTGGGAGGGGGAAAGATTTAGGTGAGAGAAGGCCTCATGAGGGGCAAAGACTGATGAGTAATTTTAGGTAAATGGAAAGCAGTGGTAAACATTAAAAAGCTTCTAAAGCTGGAAATCACCTTAAATAAAAACTTGGACTAGAAAATGTGCTTGGTCTCCTGGGTATTTACCCCAAAGATACAAATGTAGTGATCCGAAGGGGACGTGCACCCCAATGTTTATAGCAGCAATGTCCACAATAGCCAAACTGTGGTAAGAGCTAAGATGTCCACCAACAGATGAATGGATAAAGAAGATGTGGTGTATATATACAATGGAATATTATGCCATCAAAAAACCCCCGAAATCTTGCCATTTGCAACAACGTGGAGGGAACTAGAGGGTATTATGGTAAGCGAAATAAGTCAATCAGAGAAAAACAAGTATCATATGATCTCACTGATATGAGGAATTCTTAATCTCAGGAAACAAACTGAGGGTTGCTGGAATGGTGGGGGGTGGGAGGGATGGGGTGGCTGGGTGATAGACATTGGGGAGGGTATGTGCTATGGTGAGTGCTGTGAATTGTGTAAGACTGTTGAATCACAGATCTGTACCTCTGAAACAAATAATACATTATATGTTAAAAAAAAAAAAGGGAAGGGAAAAATGAAGGGGGGCAAACTGGAGGGGGAGACGAACCATGAGAGACTATGGACTCTGAGAAGCAAACTGAGGGTTCTAGAGGGGAGGGGTTGGGGGAGGATGGGTTAACCCAGGGATGGGTATTAAGGAGGGCACGTGTTGAATGGAGCACTGGCTGTTATATGCAAACAATGAATCATGGAACACTACCCCAGAAACTAGTGATGCAATGAATGGTGACTAACATAATAAAATAAAATTAAAAATAAATTAATTTAAAAAAAATGTGCTTATTCTTTACGGTTGAGACAGGTGCAGAAAATTTATAGTAGGTTATAGAGGAAACAAATGTTGGGTATAGCTTGCAGTAGGCTGTCAAGGGTAATACAGGTGTATTTTATACTATCAGCAATGAGGAGCCATTAGAGGTTTTCGAGCCACAACTGGTAATAACAAAAGTATGCTTTAGGAAGGCTAAATTAGGTATGTTAATAGGACAAATTGAAGGGAATTGAAGCCATTTAGACATAACATTGTGAAGGTTAGAAGATTATGGACTAAGGGCGCCTGGGTGGCTCAGTCGTTAAGCATCTGCCTTCGGCTCAGGTCATGATCCCAGGGTCCTGGGATCGAGCCCCACATCGGGCTCCCTGCTCCGCGGGAAGCCTGCTTCTCCCTCTCCCACTCCCCCTGCTTGTGTTCCCTCTCTCGCTGTGTCTCTCTCTGTCAAATAAATAAATAAAATCTTTAAAAAAAAAAAAAAGATTATGGACTAAAATAATGACAATGGTAAAAGAAAAAGTAGAAAACATTACAAAGGGAAAAGTTACAGTACTGGATATAAGACGAAGGAAAAAGAGGAATCAGATATTTCAAGCTGTTAGGAATCTAGGAATTATATCCTTAAGTAAGAAAATCGTCTATTCAACAAATATTTACTGAAAGTCTCCATATCCCAGGCATTGAAGGCACTAAATATTGGGAAAGCAAGTGAAACAAAATCCTCATTTTCAGTGCTTATGTAAAGATATAATTGAAATAACCTTTCTTTTTTATGTTTAGATGAAAGCTCAAGAAGTAGAGCTAGCTTTGGAGGAAGTTGAAAAAGCTGGAGAAGAACAAGCAAAATTTGGTAAACACCCTGGAAAACTTTATCATAGTGTTAAATAGGGGATTCTCTTTAATATACTCTATAAAATTTATATACTCACTTTATTTTAAAAGACATTTCTAGAACTCTTATTTCATGGATGAGGTATGAAAGTTATTTTTTTCTTATGTTACCTTATAATCATGATGGAATCTTTAACAATTTTATTACTTTGTTGAAGTTTATTTAAAAATTTGTTTTGACATAAATCTGACCAATTGAAACTTTTTTTTTAATAGAAAATCAATTAAAAACTAAAGTAATGAAACTGGAAAATGAACTGGAGGTATGTCCTTTTGTATTACCTAGGGTGTAATTGTTGTTAATTTTATTATTTTGAATTATTTTTAAAATTTTATATTATTGGCTGGAAAAAATCACAAGAATGATATTGTGTTCATAATTAGTTGTTTGTTCAACATATATTTTACATGTAATGTAAATTCTTAAGTTTAAGAATACTTAAATTCTTAGGATTGAGCATCCAATTATGAACAAAATAAAAACATTCCGTAGGGGTGCCTGGGTGGCTCAGTTGGTTAAGCAGCTGCCTTCGGCTCAGGTCATGATCCCAGAGTCCTGGGATCAAGCCCCATATTGGGCTCCCTGCTCAGCCAGGAGCCTACTTCTCCCTCTCCCTATGCATGCTGCTCCCCCTGCTTGGGCTCTCTCTCTCTCTCAAATAAATAAATAAAACTTAAAAGAAAAGAAAGAATTCAGTAACCTGAGGCTTACAGTCTAGAGAGGTATACAGAAGATTACTAGTAACTGAACTGGAGTGGAGGCACATGGGAATTTGAGGAATAGTGATGGAAGGATATGCAGAAGAAGTAGCTTTTAAGAAAGCTAAGAGCCAAAATATGAATATATTGTTAAGGAACTGAATACATTGAGATTCCTGAGAATGTGGGAAGGAATGTGATAAAATGAGTTAGCCTTTAAAAGAAAAGACCTTCTTCCTTTGTAGTAGGAAATGTGGATGTATACAGAAGATTTTATGTTTGTAGATTGAATACCTGGAAGTTGAGAGGTTGGAGGGAAAGCCCATTTGCTAAAAATAAGAGTGGAAGATGTGTGGTTAAAGTTTAAGGAAAATTAAGCTTGAAATATAGTGGAGAATGAGCTGGAGATTAGGGTATCTGGAGTCAAACAATTTGAATTCAAATCCTGATTCTTTTACTTACTAACTCTGTCAACTAGGATGAGTTATTTTTTATTCCATACTATATATCCATCTCCTAGAAAAATATCAACCATTCTCAATATATACTTATTAAATGAATTATGAAGTTGGATTGATTCTGTTAGTATTTAGCCAGGCAGCTACTGTAGAATAGAAGGACAGGGCAGTGGGAGATATTGGTAAGAAAGTGGTTGAAGTGATAAGTAATGATTATGAAATCTCAGCTGAATGGGTAAATCAAGATTTGAATGGTGGGAGAGGTTAGAGACAAGTCAAGGGATTAGAGGGTCCTATGAGGTCAGAGGGAGGTATACTAGGAATCATGAGAAAATGTTTCCGCTGGGACAAGGTTCTGGTGTGGGCATGAGAGTGGGAGGCTATAGTGAATTCAAGAAGCATGTAAAAAGATAGAGAGAGACTAGAATGAAAGTTATATGGATGTGGAAACTGCTTAGGGGGGCTTTAGTGAAACATTATGAGCCATGTGCCAAAAATTCTCAGTGAATTTTGAGAGGAGCAATTGGGAAGTTAGTAGTTTGCTGCTACCATGAGTAGGTAGGGATTGGATAGCTGGATATCATATAGAATTCATAGCAACTGGAGTTTTCACAAGATGGTGGAGGAATGATAGCCTGGAAGTTGCAGGTTGAAGTAAATCAACACCTTCTCTTGCCCTTGAGGTCTTGGGATGTGAAAGAATGAGCATCTCCCAATTAAAAGAGTTCCAAAGGATTTAGTATACTAAAGAAACCAAATTGCAGCTAAGGAGGGGAGATGGGGAGCATGATTTAGTAAAAGGGCTAAGAGTATAAAATATTAATTTACCTTGAAAGAAGATTTTTGATAGCACAAAGGAAAGTTTTCTGAAGGAGGAAAAGAGGGAGAAAACTAATATATAGAAGTATCACAACTGTACGGTAAAGAGATGAATGTGAGACAGGTAGGTAACTAAAGGATACATTTTGGACCATGACCCCAAATAACAGGAATATGGAATGAAATGGATTTAATCTACCACAAGATTTTTTTTAAGTAAAGTCTACCCCCAACATGGGTCTCAAACTCATGACCCTGAGATCAAGAGTTGAATGCTCTACCTACTGAGCCAGCCAGGTGCCCCAATCTGGCACAAGATTTTCAAGGTAGTCTTAGTCTGAGCCATCCAGTACAGACACACTAATCACTTGTCGCTATACATTTAAATTCATTACAATAAAAATTAAAAATTCAGTTCTGTAGTTGCAGTAGCCACATTTCAAGTGCTCAAAGCCACTTGTAGATAGTGGCTACGGTATTCAGGCATGCAGAGAACATTTCCATTATCCCAGAAAGTCCTGTTGGACAGCACTGGTTTAAATAGGGTATGAGGGAAAGGGCAGGTTAAGAGCACCACAAGTTGGGTTCCCTGGGTGGCTCAGTCAGTTGAGTGTCCGACTCTTGGTTTTGGCTCAGGTCATGATCTCGCAGCTGTGGGCTCGAGCCCCACATCGGGCTCTGTGCTCAGTGCAGAGTCTGCTTCAGATTCTCTTCCTCTTTCTCACTCACTCACTCTCAAAAAAGTAAAAATGTTTAAAAAAAAATAAAGTCACCAGAAGTCAATGACTGGGTGGAGTCCCTACTGGTTTGTAGCCTGGTTTCAGAGTTGTGATGCTCAGGACAAGCCTTGATAGTTCATTGCCTTTGTTCTCTGCTTGTGCAGTTTAGTCTGGTGTCTGTGGCTCAATGGTTATAATAGAGCCTGAGCGATTGACAGTCAATACAGAGCTGTGGGTGGCTCAGAAGAAGCTTAAGGGCTTGTCAGTCTGCAAACTAAAGCTTAAATACACAATTTTACAAAACAGGTTCTTAAGCTAACATGATTTTAAACATCTGGTGCTAATTATAATACAAATTTAAAGTCAATTTGTTGTTGATTCTCCAATTATAATGGGACTGATTTATACTTCTGTTTTATTACTTTAAGATGGCCCAGCAGTCTGCAGGTGGACGTGACACTCGGTTTTTACGTGATGAAATTCGCCAACTTGAAAAACAGTTGGAACAAAAAGATAGAGAATTGGAGGACATGGAAAAGGAGTTGGAGAAAGAGAAGAAGGTTAATGAACAAGTAAGGCACACTTTCCTCAATGAATTTTAACTGATCAAGTTACCTAAAAACACCTGATTATACTTTTTATAATGGTAACTATCAATTGTATGTTTTATGTGAGAATTGGTGTATACTTACCTCTCAGGTTTTGTCTCACTGTTCATGTTGTCAACACGTCTTTAAATCAAATTTCTTGTTTTTGGGAGTACCTCGCTTTGTGCAATAAATACCTATATGTAAAAAAATATAGGTTCTTAAGAAGTCGTGTTAATGCCAATATTTTATAAATCAGTGTATATTTTAAAGTACAACATTTTATCTTTTATACGAATATAGTTATTGCCTTTTATGTTATTCTTCATTATTTATAAAATAATTCGTGCAGTGGTCACTTAAATTTAGTTTGAGGAAAAAATTTTTTGCAGCTGAATTTGTGAGTTCCTGTCAGAAAACAGCATGTGTCCTATTTTGCCTCACCTGTCAGTAAACTTATATAAAATCTGCTGCCTAAGTGTGGTAACTGTCCCATCCCTGATTCCCAAAAGCTTTTTCTACCTTTGTGTCCTTTAGGTCAATATTTTATTACATCCTAATAATTTTATTTTGTCCATTGTTCTCTAAAAAATAGAAGGTGGTAAATTTTAAGTAGACAACAATGATTATAAGGTGTTGCTATTTTAAAGAATTTGTTATAAATTGATTTTGTAAGGAAAAACATGCCTATTCTTGATATATCTATTTTCTTATATAATTTAGAAGATTCATGCAAAGGTGATCTATCCATACCATTTTTGTGGTGAAAAAAGTATGGATTGATGCCATCTAAAGGTTAGAAATAAGTTCTTAGAGGATTGTCTGTTTAGTTGACTCAATAAAACATAACAGACGTATGGATTTCTTAATCATTAAGGATTCAACCTATGACATACAGTAATAGAATTGCTTATTAGGGGGATATCTGTGGTTTTCTAGACTGTTGTTCTTCTGGCTAGCCCATATATTAATCAACTTTTTGTCATTCATACCATGCACCCTTAGCTAATCAGAAGTACCGTGTCCATTCTTCTTAGACTGCTATCTTTTATTCATAGGTACAAACGCAGAAAACTTGAATATATGGCCTGTGTACCATTCCAGTTGCTAGATTCCTTGAGATGGAATATGAGTTGTTGGCAATTTCTTCTTTGCCCTTAACCAGTCATTCACTTTATGGAGTATTTATAGCTTGCTAGAAATGGTTAGGTACTAGGAATACAAAGGGCAATGATACCCTACTTTTTGATATTCATTGTCAATAATAAATATAACAGAGGATACTCTGGGGAGGGTTACCTAAATCAGTCTTGAGGTTCAGGAAGTGATTTGTAAACTGAGACCTGAAGTAGTAGTTAGTCTGGCAAAGGGTTGGAGTATACATACGTGGTGGTTAAAGATAGGGCATTCTGGCCTGAAGATACAGCATTGTTAAGATCTGGAGGGAAGAGATGGCATGGTGAATTCAGGGAACTACAGTTATTCATTTTGGCTGAAATATAGGTAAAAATAGCTAGTGTAGAATCCTTACTGTGTGCCAGATATTTTATATGCACTAATTCATTATTCCTCATTTCATACTTATCATGAGATAGGTAACATTTCTCCATGCTATAGATAAGGAAACTGAGACACAGGAGGGGTAAGTAATTGTTCACGGTTACAGAAATAAGTGGTAAAACCAGGATTTGAGTCCAAACTTACTCAGTGAATCTATGCTCTAAACCACTGTACTATCCTGCCTTCCTAGTTTAAACATTTGTGATCCTCTGGAGAGATAAGTACAGGCCAGTTCCTGAGGAATTGGGTGTTTTTCCTAAGAGGAGCCAATAAAAATTTTGAATACAAGAATATCATAATCAGATCTACTTTTGAAGTTTATTCAGCTTTACAGAGAGTGGATTGAAGGGGACTAAGTATAGTAAGGAGACATTGCTGTTAATTCAGGCAGGTGTGATGATGGGCTAATTAAAGTCATGACTCAAGGGATTAAGGGATATAGACACGTTTAGAGATGTGGGTGTAATTGGATGTGGTGAATGATTGATTGGTTGTCAGAGGAGAGGGAGGAATGGAGAGTTTTCTGCATTGGGCCACTGCATAAGGGGACTGTCATTTAAGTAGAGACACAAAAGGAACTAGAAAGTGTGTAATTATTACTTCAGTTTTCACTTTTGTACATGTTGAGTTTGAGGTCACAGTGGGCATATTCAAAAAGGATAACTGGATTTGGAATTCATGAAAGACACTGGGTGGATGATGAATATTTGTGAATTAAGAACATAGCTATGAAGCCATAGAAATGACTGTAAGGGAGATCTCTGAGAAATGTCTAATGAAATAGGAAGAAGTGCTTCAAGGAACGGCACAAGAAAAGACAAAACTCAAGAATGAAATGTTTGAAAAACTAAGGGAAAAGAGCATCAGTAGTGCTAAATGCTTCAGTGTTAAGTTCTTGACATCTCTTGCCTTGTTAAAATTTTCCAGTTCAAAACACAGTGGGACTGTTCCTTAATTCCCAGGTGACGATGATGATGATAGTAGTAGGTAAACTCTGGAGATTTTTATAGCATTTTGCATTTTATTATAAACTTTCCCTAAACTTTTTATTTTGAAAACTATCAAACCTTCATAAATATTGTAAGAAAAGGAATAAACATTTTATGCTCTTCATATAGATTCACCAGTTGTCAAAATTTTGCCACATTTACTTTCTCCATCAGTATCTTTATATACACATATTTTTCTCTTTATTTTTGCTGAGCCATTTGAGAGTTAACTGTGGATATTATGGTACTGCACACTGAAATATTTCAGCATGTCTCTGAAAAAAGAGGAGTATTCTGTAACATAACCACTATATAATTACCATATGCAGGAAATTTATTTTTATTCAATACTCTTATCTAATATCTAGTCTGTAATTGTATTTTTTTCTATTGGCCTAATACTGCCTTTCATAGTCCCTCCACCCAATATCCAAGGTTCCATCAAGGATCACATACTGCATTTGCTTATTTATTACAGACTTTTAACTATGTTTTAATTGCAAACCACTGAGAATTTTGCTTTCTCCTTGAATTAGGGAGAAAAGCAGAAAAGTGAGAGGCCATAAGAGGGATGGGGTTTGGACAATGGATGAAAAAAATCTGTGATAATAGTTATAGTATTTGCCTGTTTTGGGAAACAAAAGAGACACAAATGAAATCATTTATGAGAGGAGGGGAACATGCTCCATAGTTTTTTGTTATTTCCTGCACTGAGCATTGTGCTAAGGACTTCATATACATTATACTTAATTTTTACATCAACATATGAGATGGGAAAATTGGATTTAAGAGATGGTAAATCACTTGTTCATACTCTACCAGAAATTAGTGGACAAAGAATATAAACCTGGGCCAGTCTGATTTCAGATTGCTTCTTTTTAACCATTATGTTGTGCTGCCTTATATTTCTAAGTAATTTAAATGCTCACCAGAGCAAAGAGTATATTCTAGCTCTGACATAGAAGAACTGCAAAATATTAAAGATCTTGGACAGAAAATTACTCATTAGGTTTTGGGCGGGGATAATTTGTTTATTGCTTTGTTTCTGTATCCTTTGGTTAGAGTTTTGGTTTTAGTTTTTTTTTTTTTTTAAATCTTTTAAACTCAACCTGTTTTTTATAATCCTTAGATTTCACAAGTTTTGGTTTATTATTCATGTCTTTGATCAACATGAGTCCTTAGTAGTTAATCATTCTCTACTTCATTGGAGAGAATGTAAAATTTAAATTGATCAGCCAAAAACCTGGTTTTATATTGAATTACTGCTGAACATTATTTTTTTTCCTATTTTAGTTGGCTCTTCGAAATGAGGAAGCAGAAAATGAAAACAGCAAATTAAGAAGAGAGGTTGGTAAAAAATTTTAGTAGTTGTGGTAGTTCAACAAAGTTACTTGTTAAAAAGTTTTCATAAATTTATACTCTAACCACAACTGGAACCTTCTAAGTAACTGATGCTATTAAGCTGCCTGATTTTATGATATGCATTTGTCTTGGGGAAATAGAAAATAAATTGAAAGTTGAGGCCATTAAGTACTACATTCATCTCTTACTTTATGTGGGTAAATTTTACTTTGTTTCATAAGCCATTCTTTGTTATTTTGCTAATTGACTGAATAACTGGATTTCTGTCTTCTCTTATTTTACCCAATATTCTTTTAAATGTTTTGTTTCTCATGAAATCTTATAAGTTCTTTATTATTTGGTTCTTCTGAGCCAAATAATTTTGTACATTGTTTATCCTTATAAGAGTTCTTATCTTATTAACATAACCAAAATATTCTTTGTTTTGGTTGATAATGAATATTCTTGCTTTCTTTGATTATCCAAAATAATATCTCCTTCTAAAATTTCTCTTTTTTGTTTTAATTTCTAATTCTTAATTTTAATTATGTATCATCTTACTCATTTCTAATTATCTTTTTCCTGTTCTTTTCTGGAGAACAAACGTCTAAAGAAAAAGGTGAGACTTTAAGGGTGGTGAGACCTTGGGAGTTTAAAGATATGTTTTGAGATCAACTATTTAGAGGATGAAATTTTGTTTCTATGCATAGTTTCTTAATATAGAATATTGTATTTGGTCTGCCTTCAGAACGAGCAGCTTCGTCAGGATATTATTGACTATCAGAAACAAATAGATTCACAAAAAGAAACACTTTTATCACGAAGAGGAGAAGACAGTGACTACCGATCACAATTGTCTAAAAAAAACTATGAACTTGTCCAATATCTGGATGAAATTCAGGTAAAATAGAAGTCAGTTCAAGGCAATGATTCTTATAAAACTTCAATTTCATTAATATAAACCTAGTATTTGGCCCTACATTTAAATTCTGTAGTAGAAATCTGCAACTATGCATTTGGAAACATGAAATAAATTGCGTCTTTAAAGTTACAAATCTTACGATTCATTCATTTTATATGCCTATCTTGGGCATTAAGAAGAACAAAACTTTTTAGGTACAATTTGCTTGATATTTAATTTGATTTAATTGGTCAAAAGCAATTGCTACTACAGATCTCTAAAGAATTCTCTATTCTTCAGCAGGCACTTAGGACTCTGTTTAATTTAGTTTAAATTTCAGTTTCTTAAGTTAACCATAGTGTCTTTAACTTTATTAGACTTTAACAGAAGCTAATGAAAAAATTGAAGTTCAGAATCAAGAAATGAGAAAAAATCTAGAAGAGTCTGTACAGGAGATGGAAAAGATGACTGATGAGTATAACAGGATGAAAGCTCTTGTCCATCAAACAGATAACATAATGGACCAATTAAAAAAAGAAAATGATCATTACCGGCTTCAAGTAAGAATTGCTGTTAGAGTAACTCATTCGTGCAGACTTCATATCGTATCATTACTATTTATTTGAAACTAAAAGTACTTTAACTTTCTAGGATATGAATTTCTGTCTTATGCTGTAATATACGTTTTACTGTAACATGTTGCCATGCTGACATGTTTGTCCATATGTGTTTTCTCTAATGCCCCTACGCATACCTTGTAGTTGATACCTGAATGAATGTGTAGATAGCAGTCCTGGAAAACTAATAAATATGGGGATTTTCTACTAAAGATGCTTAGAAGTCCTGTGGACCTGAAGTTAAGTTTTATACCGTAAAATAAATACACTATAAATATCAGAAAACCAATACATTGCTCATTTTTTTTTTAAGATTTTTTTATTTATTTATTTATTAGAGAGTGAGAGAGAGAGAGAAACAACATGAGAGGGGAGAGGGTCACAGGGAGAAGCAGGCTCCCCGCTGAGCCGGGAGCCCGATGTGGGACTCAATCCCAGGACCCTGGGATCATGACCTGAGCCGAAGGCAGTCGCTCAACCAACTGAGCCACCCAGGCGCCCATACATTGCTCATTTTTTTACATGGTATTAAACTAGTGTAAAAAATAGAATAATGCTCAAAAATATAATTCTCTAGTAATGACAAATAATTAGACATCTGTAATGATACAGAAACCATTAAATACCACTTCTAACTACAGAATTGCTCCAATAATGAATATGCATTGGTAATGTATACACATATATGTGTATGAGTATGTATACTGTGTATGTGTAATATATGTGTGAATATGCATATCTAACAAATATGTATATATTGCACTATTTTGCAACAATTCTTGAAACAATTGTTGCCTTTTAGGTGCAGGAGCTTACAGATCTTCTGAAAGCAAAAAATGAAGAAGATGATCCAGTCATGGCTGCTGTCAGTGCAAAAGTAGAAGAATGGAAGGTGCTTTTTTCAGTTGATCTAATGGTTTTTCATTTGTATTTTTGATTTCAATTTCTTAGTCTTAGTTTTCTTTAAAGGCCTTATGGTAGTTAGTGACATTTTTATTGGGCAGTTTTTGTCCTAGTTAGGAAAGCACTAAGCAGTCTCTCCTGTGTAGTCCTCTAGCCTATGTGTAGTGTAAGTCTAAAACTTATTTGTCATCTAAAATAGGTAACTCTAAGTAAAATTTAAATTTTTTTACATAACTCATAGTTACCTTGTATTAAGTATATATAGTTCCTGGCTAATTTTAGTTTTTCTAACTCTCCTTCCTTCAGACCAATCCAACTATTGGTTTTCCAGTGGGAATGGGAGTAAGGAAAGGGACCTTTCGGAATCATTTGAGAAGTTTTTTCAAAATACACCTTTCTTGCTCCTCCCCACTCTCCAACCCCAACCAAATCCTCTGGCCTTCCCATGTCAGAAGCTAGGATTATGATGACTGTATATTTTGAAAAAAGTCTAAAGCAATTCTGAATAAATCTAATTTTAAAAGCTATCACTTTTGTAGTCATTGTTTCTAACAGAGTTCACATAAATTTTGTTGGCTCTTTGGATTTGGTTATCTGGGAAGTTCAGATAACCTACATTTTAAACAAAAGCAGTAGTGGTGACAGTGACGCCCTGTAGAATCAATCAGGCGTCAGTAAACTTTCTGTAAGAAGTGCAGAGAGTAAATATTTTAGACCTTCTGGTCTCTGGTGTAACTAAACTCTGTTATTATAACATGAAAGCAGACATACAGCATACATAAATGAGTGAGCAAGGCTGTTTTGCAATAAGACTTGACAGAAACAGGCAGCAGACCAAATCTGACCTTTGACTGAGTTTACTGACCCCTGGAAAAGAGAAGTTTTTACATCCTATTTAATTTTGGGGGGAGAGATGGTAGTGTATGTATTCTTTTGCACTTTATTTTGTTTTCACTTAGTATTGTTAGGAATTATTTATATCAGTATATATAGTATTGCTTTGTTCTTTTTAATGGCTTTGTAATTTTTCTTTGTAGGTATGTTATTTATTTAAGCGCTACCCTATTATGTGATATTTAGCAGGTTTCTGATGTTTGGTATTAGAAACAATGTTACAATGAATATCTTCGTGTATTTGTTATTTTGCCAATATGTGGATTAAATTGCTACAAGTTGTCATATATATCCAAATACATACCTCCAGTTTTGACACTTGTCTTTGGCTTTATGGTATTTTCACTATGAAGTTTTTTTTTTTTTTTTTTTGTATTATGTAGTTTATTTTTTTGTGGCTTTTGAACTTTGTGTCATAATTAGCGTTCTGAGTATAAAGTTGTTTTCTCTATTTTCTTCTGGTACCTCCTAGTTTCATCTTTTACATTTAAGTCTTTGAAGCATATGTAATTAATTTTGTCATGGAGAGTGAGGTATGGATGCAACAGACCTATTCTGTTGTCCAAACATTATTTATTGAACGTTTTATCTTTTTCCTACTGAAATACGGTTTCGTATTTATTACATACGACATGCTTGTTGAACTTGAATTTATTTTTGGATTCTCTGCTTTATATTGATCAATCTATTTCTAACATGTGTCCTTGTTTTAGTTATTGTTATGCTTAAATATTTGAAAAAGCTGTTCATTTTCCAGTTTTTAGACACTTACAAACATGTTTCTAATATGAAATTTAGAAATAGTTCTTAAAAATCTTATTTTATTGGATATGTGATAAATTTATAAATTATAAGTTTATTTTGGTATTTGGTTCTTCTAGCAAAGAACACAAGACACCTTCATTCAGTGGCATTGTAAGGTTTTCTCTATAAAAATTAATTGTACAAAACTTCCTGGTAGTTGCATGAAGGTATTTATAATTCTTATTTAGGAATAGGTTTTAAAAACTTGAGATTGTTTAAAGATTGAATTTCTAAAACAGCAAAAATTATACTGTATATGTTTGAATCATTTCGTATTTGAACTTAAGGTTGTACATCCAAAAGGAACAAATGATTATGCAAATAGTTGCTGATACTTACTTCAAAGTGAATTTTATTTCCTGCATTTTCTGGTATCTGCTAATGGTATATATTAGAGTAGTTGCCATAAGTGAAAAATAGTTTATTAATTTTCCTCTTATGTAACAGATCCTATGTTGTTTATATCTAGTTAATTTTGTCTTCTAAAGATGATGAAATTATTGAATATCAGCAAATGTTACATAACCTGAGGGAGAAATTGAAAAATGCCCAGCTTGATGCTGATAAAAGTAACGTTATGGCTCTACAACAGGTAAAACCTTCTCAAAATGTGGTTTGTTAAAGTAGACAATGTGTCTAACCTAGTGGCTTACACTATTGGGTATATAATAAAGTCTTTTGAAATCCAATCCCAAGAAACAATTAGAATTAAGTTTAGAGTTAGGAATAGAATTATTTTGTGTATTTTTCTGTGTTGATTCAGATAATAGACATATTGTTTTGATTGGGAATTATTTAATAAGAAACTTAAAAACTTTTAGAAACTTAAAAATATCCTAGTACTCTTATTAACATTTATTATATTATTTGTTGGTGCTGAAATACCCTGTATAATGTGAAAAAGCTGAAAGTGTCATTATAATTTGACTGTATTACATTAAATTTTATTTTTAGTACAAATGTATTCATGTAGAAGGTGTACTTCCCTCATCTGTGCTCTATAGTCACAGTCTGGAATAAAGAGGGAAATTTGGGAAGTATTTGAAGGATAAGAACAATTGCAAGGGACAATATTTGGAATGAAGTACTACAGGGCAAAAGATGGAAATGGGTGGGTCATGAGGAACGGTAGCATGAAAGAAGTCAGAAGAAGCCATAAATATTAGAGAGTTCTGGAATTCCCTTTGCCAGGATGTTAGCCATTAGATCAATCTGTAAGTATTAGAGTGACATCAGTGTATCTAACATTGTTGTGCAGTTGCGGTATACAGAGTAGTAAAGGACATAGTTTTGACCCAAAAAATACATATTCTACAATCTTGTTGAAGAAACATAAGACCGATTTTTTTCCTTACTTTTAAAATGTATGTTAATACCCATGAAGAAATAATATGTAATATTCAAAAATATTTTATAGGGTATACAAGAACGAGATAGTCAAATTAAGATGCTCACTGAGCAAGTAGAACAATATACAAAAGAAATGGAAAAAAATACTTTCATTATTGAAGATTTGAAAAATGAGCTTCAAAGAAACAAAGGTAATTAATGTTTAATAAGCATATAAAGTTATTTTATGTACCATTCAATTTTATAAGTATTTTATTTTTATTAAATTATGTCAATAGATATATTATTGATTTTTCTTTTTGAATTTTATCATTTTTAAAAATGACTTACATATATTAACTAGTATATTAGGTACATATATTACTAGTGTTTAAATTTGTAAGTGATGGAGATATTTTCTGTAATTTTTTTGCAATGAAAATTACATTAACCTTTATTACCATATTAGTTATATGAAAGAAATGAAAAATGGTGATATAATTGAGTATAGTTATTTATCCCCTTTTTAATAATTAATAATATATATAATAATAGATATTTAATAATTAATAATAGAATAAAATTTGATCAGTGTAGCAGCATTGCAGAGAGTTTTCAGAAGTCATTTGACTCGTCAGCATTTGAATGAACTTCACCCAATTTAATGTCTCATTTTACTCTGCCTACCCTGGGACATACTACCTTGCTATACACCTGAACATGAGCCCTTGAAACAGCAGTGGTCTTCTATTTCTGCAGCACTACATACTGTAGTTATACCAGGACACATTAATGCAAACTATTCATGGTGAGTTCATGACCTATTTAACATAATTGCAGAAGATAAAAAAGTAAGGCACAAAGGTAAATAGCTAGTGAGTTTCTGTGCGTGTGTGTGTGTGTGTGTAAGTGAAATAATGGTGGTGGTAGTTGGAGGTGCCGTTATAATTTAGATAGTGAGGCAAAAGCCGCATTGAGCCACACTTGAACACTTTCAGGAAGTGAAGTAGTAAGCCGTGCAGATGTCCCTAAACAGTGGGAATAAGTGTAAAGGCACTGAAGTAGGAGTATACCGAGTGTGTTGAAAAACAACAAAGAAGCCCTTGTGGCTGGAACGGTGGGCAGATGGGGCAGTAGTAGGCCATGAGATCAGAGAGGTAGCCAGGGGCCATGTCATATAGAGATTTAACAGTTCACTATAAGGACTCTGGCTTTTATTTTAAGTGAGAAGAAGCACCAAAGAAAGTTTCTGAAGACAGGAGTGAAATAATTTGACTTAGGCAGTGTCTGCAATAGATCACAGGAGTGGTAAGGACAGAAGCAGGCAAACCTGTTATGAGACTATTGCAATAATCTGGAAAGGTGCTGGTAGCTTAGAGCATGGAGGTAGCAGTAGAGTTATTAGTTGTAGTCAGTTCAGAATGTATTTGGAAGGTGATAGAAATGCAGTTTGCTAACAGATCAGATGTAGGATGTGAGAGAGTTATCAGGACTTTTGTTCTGAACACTGGGGAGGACTGCGTTTCTAGCAAATTTAGAAATGATCAGGGACTTAGTTAAACAGGACATACTAAGTTTGAGATGCTTATTAGACTTCTGAAAGTATTAAATAGGCACTTGTATATATAGAAGTCTGAGGTTTAGGGTAACAGTCGAGGCTAAAGATATAAATTTGGGAACCATATGCCTAAAAATGGTAGTTGAAGTCATGAGGCTAGCTGAGATCAAAGGAACAAATGTTAAGAAGAAAAATGCAAAGATTGAGCCCAGGGATGCTTTGACTTTAGAGGCTGGGGAGATGAAAAGGAGCAACCAAAGGATTCTAGGTGGGAGGAAAATCAGGAACATGTAGAGTCCTGAAAAACCACATGAGGAATGTCATCTAGGAAGAGAATAAGCAACCATGTTCAGAGCTGTATTCAATGCTGCTGATAAATCAAGACAAGCATTGAAAATTAACCAGTGGACTTAGCAGTGGCCACTTTTGGTTTAAGAGAAAATGGATAGAGATGACATAGGACAATCTAGAGACTGCTTTGAGGACTGTTTGTGTGAAGGGAAGGAGAAAAATGGAGTAGTAACTTGAAGGGAAAGGGGTATGAGGAAAAGTGTTTTTCTCTTTAAAATGGAAGAAATAATCATGCTTCTAGGTTAAAGGAAAGATCCATTAAAGAAGAAAATTGATGCACTCATAAAGCAGGAGAGAGAGAGGGAGAACTTCTGGAGCAATATCCTTGAGAAGGCAGTGGGATGGGATCTAATGTTCCAGTGGGGTAGTTGGCCTTAGGAGCACAAAGAATCCATCCATAGTAACAGGAAGGGAGGTGGAGCGTGTAGGTACAGATGCAGGTGACTCTGGAGATGACCTGATGGTGAGAGCAGGTAGAGAGCAAGTAGAGCTTCTGTACTGATTGCTTCTCTTTTCTCAGGAATGTTCTTAACTGAAAGGATAGGGGAAGATGTGTTAGAATTTGAGGAGAGAGAAGAAGAAAAGAGAAGGTATAAAATGGTCATCTGGAAGAGTGAACAGACTAGGGAAATGTAATATGATTGCTGAGCCAACAACAAGGCTCACTTGTTATACTTATTTCTGTATGTGTGTGTATTATGTATTTATTAGACTTATACTTTGACAGTGGTTTAAACTGCCTTAAAAGGGTGACTGATACCATGGGCTTTACATATTCCGGCCACCAGGAGAAAAAGTGACAGTTGATCTCTGCTATCAGATAAGAAAGAGGTCTTGTCTAATGACATTTCAGTCAGTCCATAGTCATATGACCCCTAAAGTCCACAGAAGGTGTGGGTACTAGAATATACTCTATACTTGAAGTTAACTTGTAAATATGACAGCTAATGGTGTTTTCCTTTCATTGGTTAGGATTAGGTTTAGCTGTCAGAACTAAAGATCTGAAAAATAGTGGCAAAATCAAGATAGAAGTTTCTTTTTCTCACCTGTGTGATGGTGTAGAATTAGGCAATCCGGTGTGTTGCCCTCATTTGTCTTGTCCAAAGTGGAGCTTTACCTTCACGTCCACATCCCAAACAGCAGGATAGAGGAGGTGGGGCAAGAGGCAAATAGCACACACTGAAGGATAGGCAAGTAAACATACTGTGGCGGGCCACATGGAAGAAGCAAGAGTAGACACTAGGGACAGCTCAGCCTCTCACATTCTCCATCTAGGCTTTTCACTCCAGAGAACAGGGCCCATTTCTTGTAAACATGCATGCTTTCCCACACTAGTCCAATGCTTATACGTTAATACATACTCTATAAATTAGTGAACACTTTCGGTGGATAAGAATGATTTGTGTCAATATGGGAATGTTATATTTTGGTCTAGCAACAGTTTGTTAAGAAAATATAAGTAGAGATTTTTTAGCTATTAAGTTTAGCTGCAAGCAACAGAAAAAATCAAATGAAACAGTGATTTAAACAGGATAGAAATGTATTTTTCCATGATACAAACAAAGTGGAGGTGACTAGTTTGGGGTTGGGTGTGATATGTGCACAAACACCGGGTATCAGGCATCCTGTAACTTGCTGCGCTGCCTGTCTCAACACGTAGTACCCAATTCATGTTCTCAGTGTTTGAGTTCCAGACTTAATATCTGTATTCCAGCTAGCAGGAAGGAGGAAAGAGAAAAGATTCACTCCTCCTCTTTAAAAACATTTCCTGAAATACACACATGGCTTGTCTGCTTATATACCATTGGTCACATGACCACACCTAGCTGCTGGGGTTTAACTGGAAATTTAGTCTTTATTTCATATGGCCATGTGTCCAACCAAAATTGCATTCTTCTCTTACAGTGGACAAAGGTTGAACATTAGGAACAGATAGCTAGTAGTTTTTGCCACAATAATCAATCTTTTTAAAGCAGTGTTTTGCAATCTTATATAATCTGTAACCATTCAGCTAAGATTTTATTGAACTTTTTAAGCTTGTCCTATCAATAAAATGAAAACAAATTTTATTTTTTAAATATAAAATTATAATAATAAAGGGACTTTTTTAGTGACATACCACTTTTCCTGCTTCCTGTATTGGATTGCAATCAGGGATTTAAAGGAATAAGTAATCAGTTCAATAAATTCATGATTTTTTTTTTTTTTTTTTTTACTCTGTAGGTGCTTCAACTCTTTCCCAGCAGACTCATTATATGAAAATTCAGTCTAAGGTTCAAATGTTAGAAGAGAAAACTAAAGAGGCTGAGAGAACAGCTGAACTGGCTGAGGCTGATGCTAGGGAAAAGGATAAAGAACTAGTTGAGACTCTAAAGCGATTAAAAGATTATGAATCGGTATGTATTTTTATCTTGCCAATCAAGGAGCTTAGGTTATTCTTGCCACTCACACTGTTCCGTGCCATTTACTGTGTACCTTCAAAAACATTCCAGAAGTGTTTTATGATAAAGGTTATCTTGGTTGGTTTGTACTGCCGTATTCAAACTTGATCAGCACTTACTTTTCAGCCAGAGAACTGTTTTCTAGCCATTTGATCAAAGCATTTTGCCCCAGATAATCAGCTTTGGTGAGACAGCAAGTTTAGTTTCTTCGTAATCGGTGTCATTATGCCACCATTATAGATGACACCGCTGGTTTATTTGCCAGAAGTTATTTCAGGGACAGTTTTGCTGCCTACTGCGCCAACACACAGTACTTACTTTGTACTTTTTGTATTTTTAAATCTGATTGCCACTAAGTCAAGTAACTAATGACTTATATATTCTAATGGTATCACTGATTCACTCTTATTATTCCTTTCCTATATTTTGTTAAATGTTTTTTTGTTTGTTTTTTGAGGGGGTGGGTCAGAAGCCCCCTAGAGACAGTATGAACATCTGATTTATCTTAATATCCCCTGAATCATCTAGCATGGTCTTATATACAGTCAACATTCACTAATTTTAGTTTTATTTTATTAATAAATTTATTTATTTTAAGAGAGAGAGAGCATGAGCAGGGTGGTGGTGGGGAGAGAGAGAGAGAGAGAGAATCTTAAGCAGGCTCCACACCCAGCATGGAACTCACCTCGGGGCTCAATCTCACAACTCTCAGATCAGACCTGAGCTGAAACCAAGAGTCGGACGCTTAACTGACTGAGCAACCCAGGCTCCCCTTGTTAAATGTTTTATATGTCATTCTCTGAGTCACTTTGTCATTAGGATGCTATACTGGGAAGTTTCAGCTGTTCCATTTTCCATCATATTACTGGATTTGTTTTTTAAAAGCACAATAAAAAGCACAGTTTCATGATACAAATCTTACATATATGTGTACTTCCCCTCAGACTTAATAAGAAAATAAATTCATAAATTTGATAATTTTTCAAATAAACCACATTATACTTAAATTAGATTGGATATTTTTCAGGGAATATATGGTTTAGAAGATGCTGTTATTGAAATAAAGAATTGTAAAAACCAAATTAAAATAAGAGATCGAGAGATTGAAGTATTAACAAAGGAAATCAATAAACTTGAGTTGAAGATCAATGATTTCCTTGATGAAAATGAGGCACTTAGGGAGCATGTGGGTAAGTCATCTTTTAAGATCCATAGTTTGATCAATCCTAAATGCCGAGTCATTTCTTATTTTTCTTTTTGTGTAATATTATTTTTAAATAGTTGAATGTGTTTCCCCCCCCCCATATAAACCCTTCTATAAAAATATTTAAAACAAAACTGGAGCTGCCCTGATTGAAGTGGGACTACAGATTTAATGGGGTTGGGATGGTGAGTGGGCTGTCCTGGAGCACTGCTCTATTCAGTCTGGCATCTCTTCAAGTAATAATTGCTTGTTTAAAAACTGAAAGTCTGCTAAACTAATACCACATATTAGAAGTTAACTCCCCCCTTTCTTTTTCTCAACAAAGGAGGGTCTGTATGACCCATTTGGTTTGCAAAATACTCTCGTTCAGATGAATTCATGAGGACATTTAGAAGTACTGGTTAAGGACTTTTATGATTTATGCTGCTTAAATTTAACTTTGGTTGGGTATTTTAAGGTTACTATTGATTCTAAGAAGTAATTAGTAAATATAGCTTGAGAGTTTATGTATTGATTTCAAGAAATAATTCATTTAGTATTACTCGTTTGAATGTTAAATTATGACAGTTAATCTAAATTGCTACTTTGAAGTGAAAATAAAAATCTAAATACTGATTTCATTATACTTGGTAAATACCTGTTAATGCTTTCTTAGAGCTAAAATGATCATCTGTGAAAATTATTCTCTAGAGGAAGGAAAAATAAATATTTTATGAAGAGGATTTATTTATGAAAATGTATCTAAGTAGGACTCAGAATCATGCCAGTACCCCAAGTTAGCCTTCTGATCAACTTGACCTACTGGATCACAGCTGACTTCAAACCGGAAGTTGCTAAAGATGACTGAGCCAATTAGATAGCTGTCACAAACACCAGATTTTCTGTATTTTATTTTATTTTTAAAAATGTTATTTATTTATTTGAGAGATAGAGAGGGAGCGAGAGTACACCAGCAGTGGGTGGGGCAGAGGGAGAAGCAGACTCCCCGCTGAGCAGCAAGTCCAACTTGGGGCTCGATCCCAAGACCCTGAGATCATGACTTGAACTGAAGGCAGATGCTTAACTGACTGAGCACCCAGGTGCCCCTTCTGTATTTTAAAGCCTCCAAATCTTGTTTTACACTTGCTTAAGACAATCTTCATATCTACTTAGTAATAGGAAGTTAGGAGACAGGAACAATGGAGGAATCAGACTCATGTGGTAATATCATTGATATTGATATTAGTAATGACTACTATGTGCCAGGCATTGGACTAAGTACCTTCTATAGGTTAATTTTTTAAACCCTTGACAACAAACCAAAAAAAAAAAGAAAGAAAGAAATGCAGTATTAGTCCTACAGCTTAGTTAATAATTGAAAGTGGGAATTGAGCGCAAGTCTGTTTTATTCTACAGCTTCTGTTTTGAATTAATACATTCTAGTACTTTCATGATGATCTAACATGGAGAAGAAGACAGATCCTGATATATTTTGTCAGAATTTCTATTAAAAATTGTGATAAAATGTTGACTTGTAAGGTTATAGTTCAAATATCTGGAAATTCTTGCACAAAAGTATCCCATTCTTCAGTGATGGTGGTTAAATAAATTGTAACCATTTGCTCGATGATAACCAACTGCTATATGAAATTTTTATAGCTCATTTGAATGTTGGTAAGTTTTTAATTATACTGCTTTCTATTTTAGGCCTTGAACCGAAGACAATGATTGATTTAACTGAATTTAGAAATAGCAAAAGCTTAAAACAGCAGCAATACAGAGCTGAAAACCAGATTCTTTTGAAAGAGGCAAGTATGATAGTTAATTAGTTATTTTCTGGTTGAACCAAAAGAAATTCTAATAATTTGTGCTTTATAGATTGAAAGTCTAGAGGAAGAACGACTCGATCTGAAAAAAAAAATTCGCCAAATGGCTCAAGAAAGAGGAAAAAGAGCTGCAACTTCAGGTATATGCAGTTATTCCAAATCCTTTAAAGAATCATTGGAAAATGAATTGTCTGGAGCTGAAATTTTCTGTATCTTACATATATTATCATGGTTCTGCTGCAAGTTTAATAAATGAAATAATGGCCTGATGAAGAATATTTAAGTATCACTGGTTTCTGTCCTAAATCTGAAACAGGTAAAAACAGAAAAAGCACAATAAAATAATTGAACAAAACTTCAGAATCATTAACTTTTGAAAACTTTACCGTATAGTCTATTAATTCCCACACAATCCTGATATGTTGTGATCAATAATGATAATATTTAGTAATTTCTATATTAATATTTGTTGCTGTTAATATCTTCCTTAAGAGCAGTACATTGAAAACTTTCTTTGTACATTATTCCTTATTAAGTGAAAGTAATGTTTTATTGAATAAAAATTAACTTTTTTGTCGTTTATCTTATTTGATATCAAGAGAACAGTTGGTTAAGTTTTATAATAGCAATTGTAGTGCCTTTTTCTAAGACCATAGCGAAGGAATTTTTTTTTTTTTTAAGATTTTATTTATTTATTTGAGAGAGAGAATGAGAGAGAGAGCACAAGAGGGGGGAGGGTCAGAGGGAGAAGCAGACTCCCCGCCAAGCAGGGAGCCTGATTTGGGACTCGATCCCGGGACTCCAGGATCATGACCTGAGCCGAAGGCAGTCGCTTAACCAACTGAGCCACCCAGGCGCCCCGCGAAGGAATTTTTTTTAACTTCACCCAAGTCCACAAGTATTTGAATAATAGAGGGTTTTTTGTTTGTTTTGTTTTGGTTTGTTTTTGGTTTATTTTGATTTTTTATCATCATGGTCTCTATATCAAAAAATTTCTAGGATGGCAAAACTTCATAATTTATTAGTGTATTAACCAGTTTACTCATTCATGATTCTTGTCTATTTTATATGTCTCTAAACTATTTCAGTAATTATTAATACTTTAATATAGAATGTGTAAAGAATGATAGAGAAGATAAAAGTCATATTAGTTTCTCATTAATATTAAAAGTGAGCTAAATCAGAAGGTTATATAGGCTACATGTGGACGAAGGATTTTGGAAATTTCTACCTTTTGTTTGACTTAAAACTTGATTTTACTGGTACTCTTGGGTGGCTCAATCGGTTAAGCAGCTGCCTTCAGCTCAGGTCATGAACCCAGGGTCCTGGGCATTGGGCTTCCTGAGTAGGAAGCCTGCTTCTTCATCTGCCTGCTGCTCCCCCTGCTCGTGCTCTCTCTGTCTCTCTGACAAATAAATAAATAAAATCTTTAAAAAAAAAATCTTGATTTTACTTTTTAAGAATTAGAGTAATAAGAGAGTTATTTCATGTTTCTAATTTGTTAATTCTTTTTTATGTAGGATTAACTGTTGAGGACCTGAACCTAACTGAAAACTTTTCTCAAGAAAATAGAATAGGAGAAAGGAAATTAGGTTTTGCAAGCCTCAAAAATATGAGTGAAGCTCAATCTAAGGTAAACAGTATTGTTATGGCAAAGAGAATAGAAGAAAAATGTTATTATTAGTACTTTCATTTCTTCACCTGTTAGCTCATTTTGGACATTGCTTCTTTTTATAATTGTTAAATAACTTTTTTGTTTTAATTTAAATAACCTGTTGATCCAAATATTGATTAATGAGACCTTATTTACTCTAAATACAGATTACGAGTTCAGATAAAATAGAGCTGCCGCATAGGAGACCATCATTTGGTTTTCCACAGTTATATCAGAATGAACCAGAGGAGAATGTCACCATAGGATCATTATCAAGAATGTTACCTGAAATTCAACATAGTGTAGAAAGTGCAGTGGATCCTTTTGTCTCTCTAACTAAACATTCTTCATCTATACAAGTAAAAGATAATAATTCACCTCCAGAAACTATTATGATAAAGGAGATTTTTAAAGCACCATGTCTACAATCTTTAAGAAATCTAGAATCGTTAGTCAATAGCTTTAGTAGGGAGAGCCATGAAGAAATAGATGACTACTTATACTCTCTTTCTGACCACTCTATGAAGAAGGTGTCAAGAAGCTGTCAGGCACTTGAGAAGACTAGTTTCATACAGAAAAGCAGTTCATCTTTACAGGCCTTATCAACAGCTTCAGACTTAATGCAGAAGTTATCATTTAGGCAAAAATCTGCAATATTTTGTGAACAAATTCATGATAATAGAGCTGACATGGGTGAATCACAAGTAGCAACATCAGAAGATGAACAGGTTCATAACCAGATAAAATATGCTGATATCAATTTGAAAGAAGATGTAAGAAAGAGTGAAGTGCCTTTACAGACAGAGATTTTGAAAAGTAAACTTGATGTTAATCTTCTGGACCGTGTGCCTATTACTACACAATCAAAATCATCTCAGATAGATCCACTTGAAAATCTTATAGAACAGCTACGGAGAGAACTAGTATTTCTTAGATCTCAGGTGAGCTTTCCTCCAGATTACATTACTGAGATCACTTTTTTATTAACTCTTTTTTTTTGTGACTTCTCTAACAAAGTTCTCTGAGTAATCATTGTAGTAAGAATTTTTTTATGCTTGCACATAACACTAATTTATACATATTCTATTTTTTAAAAATTTAAAAATGCAGTAAGTTTGATATGAAATCATTGACTTGCCTAATTTATTAATTATTCCTTTAGAATGAAGTCATAGCACAGGATTTATTGGTCAAGGAAGCACAGAATAGAAATGCAGAAATAGAGCTTGAACGTCATAGAAGCCAGGCAGAACAGGTAGTATAAAGGCAGACTATTAAAAGAGATAATTTTGGAACTAAAGACAAAATCTTTCAATTATATTTCTTTGTCTTTTGCTGTGGGAGTGGGGAAAGGGAGAAAGTGGGAGGAAGACCACCAGCTGTTTTACCTTTTGGGTTTTATTTTTATTACTACTGTTGTATTTCTATAGCTTGTCTCTGGTGTGTTACACCTCAATTGGTCAAAATTTTTTAACTTGAAAACTGTAAATGATAGTGATATTTTGTTTAAAAAAATCAATTTTATTCTTTATGTTCTGTACAGAATGAATTTCTTTCAAAAGAACTAATTGAAAAGGAAAGAGATTTAGAAAGAGGTAGAACAATAATAACCAAATTTCAGAATAAATGTAAGTTACTATTATTTCTTATTTTTCTGTACTTATTTATCCTATACTGAAAATCATGGAGCTAAAAGGACTTTAACACATTCTTGTTTTCTAGTCTGTTTTAACTTTAATTACCTCCACAATACATAGACTTCAGTGTCTCTCATTCATCTATTTGGTTTGCCTTGCTATATTCATTGTCAAAGTTATTAATGTGAATTTTTTGTGGTGATAAATAAGTCAGTTTTTCTTTTTTGTTGTCTAATGAAAGTGAAGTTAAAAAAACAAATTTAAAAGATGTTTAAAGAAGTGAAGACAAAGTATCTTTATGATTTCTTTCAACAATGAAACATATATGCACATGATTTAAACAGGTATATCATTTAATACAGCTATTCACACATTGGATTTATAGGTGCATTTTTTGTACATTTATTTACTTTGGCATTTCCCAAATGGGTATTTTTTCTATATGTGAAATATTTGTTATGTGTATAGAATAGTGTAAATTGTGAAGAAGGTATTCACTGAATGAGAAAAATATGTCATTTTAGTAAAAGAATTAGCTGAAGAAAATAAGCAGCTGGAAGAAGGTATGAAAGAAATATTGCAAGCTATAAAGGAAATGCAGAAAGATCCTGATGTTAAAGGAGGAGAAACATCTCTAATCATCCCTAGTCTTGAAAGACTAGTTAATGTAAGTTTTTTTCACATTGGTTTTGTTTTGTTGTCTTATACTTTAAAGATGTTGTTCAGTTGTTCTCTGGTCTTCATTGTTTCTGATGAGACATTTATAGTCATTTGAGTCATTGTTCCCCTGTTTGTTACATGTCGATTTCTCAGGCTGCTTTCAAAACTTCTCTGTTATTTGGTTTTCACCAGTTTCACTATAATGTGCGCTGGTGTGTGTCTAGGTAAGAGTGTGCATTCATATATTTGTATGTGTGTATGTGTATGTCGTTTGGGGTTTGCTGAGCTTCTTGAATCTGTTTACTTTTCACTACAACTGGAAAGTTTTCCACTTTAGTTCTTCAATTATTTTTTTTGTCCCATTGTCTCTGGGACTCCAGAGACACCTGTTAGACCTTTTGATGTTGTCACACAGGTTTTTGAGGCTCTTTTCATTTTTTCTCCCTAATTTTTTTTATCTTTTCTCCTCCTGATTGGATAATTGCTATTTATCTATTTTTAAGATCACTGATATTTTCTTCTATCATCTCCTTTCTTCCATTTCAAAGGTCAGCCTGGCAGAGTTTTTAACAGAATTTGGAGTTCCCTTTTGCTGGTTATTTCTTTCTGGAATTCCTATCTTACTTTCCCGAGACTTTGGGCTCTATTTGTGGTTTTCTTGGCCAGAAAGATGACAGGTCACTGCAACTATAGCCCGTCCCTTCCCCACACCACCCGCCCCCTCACACACACATGCAAAATTCACTTGGTTCTGTCTTCCAAGTTTTAAGTCCTCTCCAAAATCTACTTGCTTTTGTTTATTTTCTAGAACCTTCAAATAGTTGTTTTTTATATTCACTTGTTAAGTGTAGAAGGTAGTCTGGTAGGACCTTATGTCACAAACCTGGAAGTGTAATAGGATATAGTAAGAATATTTTAAATATTTCAATGCTTAAGCATTGCTACAGGAAGAATATTAGCCATCAAATAATAGTATATTTATATTTACTATATAGAGATTTGAGAGTTCTACAGTATTAATGAGTGTTACATAAACTTGAATAAAATATACATTTTAAATTCTTAATATTTAAATATATTGTTTACAAAATCTGAACATACTTAGCATATATTATTGCTTCCCAAATTTGTGCTTCCCAGGAAAATATTTGTTGAATTGCTATTTTTATGGTGAATTAGTCAATAGTTGAACACTCGTTCTTAGCAGCACTGTATTGTTAGTAGAGAGAGAGAGAGATACTGGTATGTTCAAAACTTCCTGAGGCAAGAAGATCATTTGACAAAATTTATGAGAACCATTTAATTCTCTTTATATGTTACTCATTTTTATGTTCCTTCTCCTGTTGGTGACTTTGTTCGCCTCTGCTCTTTGAATGTCTAAAATGATTCTTTATGCTTTTTCTGTGAACATCTTTCATCTGTGATGCTACCTACTACTGATACTGTGTCTAAATCAAACTATTTTCCAAGGGAAACTCCACTTAGTGACCAAATACAAACAGAATGGATAGCACAGGAAATTCTGACTTCTTCTATTTCAGTTGACAGCTTCTGGTCTTGCCAGGACCACTGCTTCCAGAGATTTCATCTGCTTCTATCCTGGGTTGTCATTCTTTTTTCTGATTGATATGCCCTGTCTGTAACTCACAAATGACCTAACAATGCCTGCTGTAAGAAATCTTCAGAATCAGTGACACTTTAGATCAGATATTTCTAGATTATGTACTTCATTTCATTTTCTGTTGCCACAGGTTATTTTTCAGTACCTCTAATCACCGTTTAATCTCATTTTAATAAAAGACCATATAGGCAACATGGTCCTGTTTCTCAGCAAGACAGCTAACTAGGCTACCCTGATGTCTGTCACAGTACCTCCTTCTACTTACTTCTGTCTTCCTGGTATCCCCTTTGAATTAGTATAATTTATTATTCCATATGATCCCTGCCCCGGTCTCTTGGGGGTAAAAGCTTACTTTTAAAATTTTTTTTTTTAAGATTTTATTTATT